GGAAATTTCCTCGGTCTTTTCAATGACAGTCGTGTCTTCATAGGGTCGGGAACTCCGTTGAAGAAAGGGGTGGATCACCTCTCTATGTCGGTTTCCCACCTAGCTTTGTTCAACTTCGGTCTCATGTCGGGGAGGATGAGTATCCTGCTCTTCCAGATTCCCATTACCCCTGTTTGGATTCGAGAGGTCTTGGCGTGGCAAGCCCTGTTGAACCGGTGGAACAAGGTGTTGCAGGAGTGCTGCATTTTGTTGGATCAACTGGTCCATACCCTGATTCAGAGTTTGGACCTGCAGTTCCAACGCTGCAAATCGTGTCTGGTCATTAGGGACGTCTAGATTTTCACCCGACTCTTCCCTTTGACCAGATCCCTGCGACGGTGTTCTTTCGGTAACCATTCCGGACCGCAAACGTCTATACCCAACGAGTAATAAATCGATTCAAGGGAATCGCTGTTCCCATAGACGGCGCCAACTGTTGAGGTTGAATTTCGCCGCGGTCTAGTACGACACCGTTTCCTGCAAAATAAGGATGGCAAAGTCAAACACCGGTGTGGTACCGGTCGTTGACCCTCCGACGATCAAGTCAGCAAGGATTCTCGATAGAGAATTTTAATCGTAATTAAAAGAAGTAAGTGACTTTTCCTTACTAAAGGGACGAGCTGGGTGAAGCTCGTAAAAATATGTTCCTTCGAAAGAAGGACGGGCTGAGTGAAGCCTGGGAAAGTAAAATGAGTTCTGTATAAGGAAACAACAAGTATGGAACAATACCATGAAAGACAAAAGTAGAGCAACTATTCTCTGGATTCAAAGATATTCTGAAAAGTTTTAAAGGAACAACATACTGAGAAATCAAAAAACCTAATATATATATATATATATATATATATATATACACGACTAATACTATGGAATTCAATCTTCCTCTTCGCTTTCACTTAGAACGCCATACCTTCGTAATTTTTTGGAAGCAGGAGTAGAAGGGAGATTACTTGACCGGACTTGGGCTAGGAGTCTTTTACTGAGCTTCTTGCCTGCATGAAAAGTAATAAGGGAAATACTTAATGAGATATTAACTAAAAATCAATAAGTTCACATATAAGTATGTTTGTTTTTCTTACCTTTCTCTAAGTGGGTGGAGGTTTCCTTTAAGCTATGAGCTCGTACATACAAATCTAAAGCCTCGTCAATTATGAGATCGCTAAAGGTCTTTACTGGGTAAGAAGAGGCATTACCAACATGCTCGGCTTCTGGAATGGAGAGGGTTGGTTTGTCCTTAAATTCTGGGAAAAAGAATAATAAGTTGCACCTAAAAAAAAAAAAAAAAAACAAAATTTCCTATTCATGAACAGTACCCGAGGGTACTATTCCATTGGGTACAAAAAAAAAAAAAAAAAAAAAAAAAAAAAAAAAAAAAAAAAAAAATTATTAATTTGGAAACTATATACATATAAATCTTACCTGTTGGATCTGAATTATTCCAAATAGTTGGAAATTTCCCGTATGCACCGGAAATAAAGAAGAAACGACTCTTCCAACCTTTATTATTTTCAGGGGTTGCGACAAGGAGGAATGTCTTCTTTGATCTACACTGGAAGTACCAAAAATTGTCTTTTCTCTTCTTGGGATAATAAAAATGCAGGAATTGATTTACTGTTAGAGGGCCATTGCCACACTTTCCCCAAACAATCAAACAGCCTATAATAATTCTCCATGAATTAGGAGCAATTTGAGAAGGAGCTATCTTCAGATGAGAAAGAATTTCTTCTACAAATGGGTGAATCGGAAAACGCAAGCCCGCAGCAAAAGTCGACTCGAAAAAACATACCTCACCCAAACGAATAGAAGAACATCTATCTTCTGGTTTGGGTTTGTGAAGACGAATAGATGAAGGAATGGAATATTTAACTCTACAACTCTGTAAATTCTCATCCTTCATTAAGGATTCTCCTTCACGAGGAGGTTGCTTGGAAAAAGCAGTCCTTGGTCTTGAGGAGTAATCATTTGCTTAGTAGGAGTTTTTTTTGTGTGTACCTTATCCCCGAGTCGTCTTTGTCTTTATCGTCACTTCCCTTATTCTTGATAAGGGAGTTCCATCGTCCTTAGCCCATGGAGCCTACCTCGTGGAAATCCTATCCTTGATAAGATTTGAACTTATCCCATGACAAATCCTATCCTAGATATGATTTGTCATCATTCTTATCTAATAGAATAGTTATCCTTAATAACGAGATATTATCGTCTGAGAGTTGGAGAAATCTGGTGGCAGGTCAATATTTAATTCCCTTTTTTGTTAAGTCAAGATAGGCTAGGGTTATTTTTCTCTATCATCTATAATGCTCTTGAATGCAAATGCAAAACCGGGAGAAGTTCCCGATTCCAGAAATCGTCCCGACTTTTGAAAAGTTATAAAAATGGTCCCGCCACTTATAATTGACTTAAAACAATTAAAAATACATTACCAAAACACTCAGCTCAAGAAAATGACTTAAACGGCCTGTGTAGCATGCAAAACGAGACATAAAAATAATTAAAATAAAAATTCAAAAAAAAAAAAATCCGAAAAATTCGAGACATTACAGGATTGTCGTCAAGTGCATTCTCAAATATTTGAGAACCAAGAATTATATGCTCATTTATGGAGGTGATGAACTTGTTCCAGATAGGTACACAAATTTTGATTTTCAATCAGATGTAGATATTAGGTCATCTACCTCTGGGTATGTGTTCACACTTAATGGCGGGGCTGTCAATTGGAAAAGTGTGAAGCAATCTTGTATTGCTAATTCAACCATGGAGACTGGGTATATTGCTACCTTTATTGGAAAAGTGTGAAGCAATCTTGTATTGCTAATTCGACCATGGAGACTGAGTATATTGCTGCCTCAAAGGCAGCAAAGGAAGCCATTTGGTTGAAGAAATTTCTCATTGATTTAGAAGTGGTGTGACATGCAAGCTCAACAATGGTCCTATATTGCGACAATTGGGCAGCGGTTGCTCAAACCAAGGATCCCAAAAATCATAAAGGTACCAGACACATTGAGAGGAAGTTCCATCTCATTAGGGATATAGTGCAACGTGGAGATGTACTCATGACCAAGATTGCATCAGAGAACAACCTAGCAAATTCATTTACAAAGGCGATGCCGATCAAGGTCTTTGATCGACATTTGGATACCATAGGAGTTAGATGAGAGACAAATTGGCTATGAGGGCCGATGGTTTTAGGCTACATATGCGAGATATAAATTTAAATTGATGTATATAACTTATGCTCTCTTGGCTGAGCTTTCTGCCCGAACGCTTACAAACCAAATTTCAGAGTTCCCACAAACTGGGCCTAAAACAGTTTTCACATAGGGATATAGTTTGATTCCAGAAGGCAAATAAAGGGCATAGAGAAAATCAACAACATGGGAAAATAAGGGCTTGGGGTTTAGGGTCTCTATGTCATTGTTGAAAACTGACGTCATTGCGATTTTATCAAATCTTAGAGGTATGAGGTTCTAGAAACCTTGCACATTTATTATATATCATTCAAATAAATAGGAAATTGTATCTATATGAAAACACGCGTCTATGGATATTTTACGCTTCCGACAAAAGAAAAAGAAAATTGAAATCTGGTTCCCAACACAAGGACATAATGTATTTCGAGTGATCAGATGGTTCATAAATTAGCCATTTGAGACCAAGTATGCATCAGACAGAGAAGACAATTATTATTATTATTATTTTACAGCTATAGATGTAATTAAAGAAGAGAAAAAAACTGTACCTGCAACATGGGGCACACCCCATGGGCCGACAATAAATATATTGGCCTCAGCCCAAAGGCAATATCAAGCATTAAAACAAGTCAAACCCCAAGTACACAACCAAGGAGCCCAACCCCCAGTGACCATAACTACCCCACCTGACTTTTAAAAGAAGCACAGGAGGGTTGTAACATAAGAGGGTCTAGACAAAACACGGATTTCTAACACCTGGATAAATATGAGTATTGATGTTTAGGTCTATCTATCACCCAATTAATTACTGTCCTCATGAGATATATTAAAGTGGGTCATACTAGAGACCTACTTTAATATATCTAAAAGTTTTAATTAATTGGATTTTACAATTCACTTTGAAAATCATTTTCAGGGACATGAGAAGTTTCCACTCATCTATAATGGCTTCAGCATATAAGCATTTGGTTCCGGATTACAGAGAAGAGACGGAGTTTCATGAGATCCACAATAGTGCAACAAGTTTTCAAAGGAGGATAGGATTTGTTCTGGAAGATTCTAGCATTTCTCTCCATGCATATGTGATAAACAAAGCTAGCCAAGGTAAGCTTCCAAAACAATGTTTTAATATTTTTTGACTTCTGTTTCCAATTTGATGAAGCCCAGATGTTTGGACTTGGATAGAACGCACATTTTGCTTTCAGAGAGAGTGTTCCATATAATCCTAGAATAGGAGCAGTCTTGAAATTGGTGATTATGAGTTTTGCATCACTAAGACATGGGATGCAAACATTGGGTTTGTCATATGTTGTAAGCTTCTCTTGAACTGCAAACCAGAGACACAGAGAATGCTTGGGTATAGATTGACTGAACCAAAGGAGGCTTGCCCAGTGGGTAGGTGGAGAGGGATTGGTGCATACCACGTGTTTGATGGTGTACTTCAGAGAGAGATTTATCAAACACGGCAAATTTTCCTAGGCCAGGCCATTAGAGATATAGGTTGAGATCTTACATTACTTGTTGATGTTCCATCTATATCTAGTAGTACTTGGTACAAAGTGCCACAAGAGAGCAAATGCATTTCAATGCTTAATAGGCCTCATCTATATATCCACCATCTTGGCCAAAATTGTTTTCATATGCCTACTCTTCGGTGGCGTGCTAAAACATGGCTTACCATCTTCAAACCTTATGTGTGCATCTAATAGTATTGTTTGAAACAGCAGTTTGAATTCACAACAATATATGCATGGAGATTAGACACAACAATCAGAAGAAATTAAAATTTCAACTATGCATATTAAGGCCTATTGGCCATTGCTCTGTGATCTTTTCTTTAGAATGTGCCTTGAATAGGCCATTATAAATTAATTTTTCAGCTCCTATGTACTCCAAAATTATCAAAGAAGAGACATTTTAATCTTAAAAAGCATGGGTTATTTGCTTGCCTCAGGAAATTTGTGCTTCCATAGTGCTTGGAAAATATACACACGGCAGAGAAGTTCATAGAAGATCACAGAGTCGACTTATATTCCATAACCGAACTTCCCCAAAAATTATATTGCGTAGCATGTATAAAGATAGCGGATACTCCCCATACTGTAAGTGATGTACTAGTAGAAAATATGCTTTCTATAGACCACTGTTGTAACAGCTACATTTGAATGTTAAAATGCCTAGTTTCATCACTTCGACAAAGTGAGAATGTTGAATTTGCAATTCTGTTTCCATATTCAACGGCCACCTTGTATTCACCTAAGAACCCAGAGAAGCTATATGAACCATGTTCATCTGTATGACCTTCCAAAACCCCAGTTTGCCATTCTTTCAAAAGGTTGTCAACCACATCACCAGCTGGGAGATTACGGAATTCATTGTCAGTAAGGCACATCTGGTAACAACCATATGGATGTAGGGCAGTCCAAAGCATTATCCCATTTACAGAGGGATGTGAGAAGCACTCTCTCAGAACTTCTTCTAGATAAACAGCCTGTAAAAGAAGCAAATAAAAAGAAGCTCTTATTGATGTTTGTACGAGTGTGGCCTTTTAATTGGACATTCTTCTATACATAAGTTTGAACTTTGGTATGTGAAAATAAAATAGACTGGGAAACTTGGAACATAAGTGACATTATACTTGCTCACCTGTGCTTCCTTGGATAATATTTTGCTGATATCAATCTCTGTAAGCCAAATTGGAAGCCTTAGCGTAGCTAACTTGTCTAGAATGGCTCTCATTAGAGGACGGTTTGGCACTGTGAAGTGACCCTCTAGGCCGATTCCATCCATTGACACACCACCCTGTTTGAGTTCTCTCATCCGCGAAATGTAGGTGTCCACAGTGGAGTTAACATCACTACAAGTCTCCAAGACATTATATTCGTTCATAAACAGCGTTGCCAATGGATCTGATTGGTGTGCTGTCTCGAAGAAATGCAAGGTGGCATTACGGCCAAGCCTTTGCTCGTAGAAATCCCAATGAAGATTTTCATTGCTAACATCCCAGTGTATGAATTCTTCACTATATTTGCTCATTAAACTTTCTATACGGGAGTTGACAGCTGATTGTAGCTCTGAACCTGTTAGGTTACGAACCCATGCTGGCGTATACTGAGGGTCCTCCCAGAAGATATTGTGTCCTCTTGCAATAATTTGGTTTGCTCGAACGAATTCCAACATCTGGTCTGCTAAAGTATAGTTGATCTGCCCTGGTTTAGGTTCTGTAGTGTACCACTTGAGTTCATTCTCAAAAACTGCTGCATTGAATCTTTTAACAAACCAATTCTGAAACAATTCAAGGAATATATTGTTTTAGCTTTCACTGTAAATGTGATCATGGGGCACAAAAACTGGTTTCAAAACCATTGAGGCCTGCCTTACTGGCTAGAATCTCTTTCCCTTTGTAGAATTATAATGTTTGATTCTAAATATTCCAAAGTGATTCATATAAAAAAAAAAAAAAAAAAATGTCTATTGAACATTAGTTATAGCTAGCTGAGGCTTAGATTTAATATATCCACTGCAGTTACCTGATACGGCTTATTTCCAATAATAGTCTTGGCAATGGCAGATCCAAATGGGAAGTCTTTAGACACTTGCTCTACTGTAATTGCTGCTCCTTGCAACCTATCTCCATGTTCATCTGACACATGGATTGTCACGGCACGCTTCCTTTCCTGGTAAAGAATAAAATTTTGGTATTGTTTCATTTTTTTTATTATTCATAAATGTAGCCCTTTTTGGTGCTTAAAATTATGTTTTTACGAAGAGAGATGGATTCAAGCCAAAAAATAAAGAGAAAAGTAGTAGTTCTTGATTGGGTTGTGAAAAACAGAGGAAAAGACGGAAAATTAGAATCTCATAACATTTTTAAAAATTGGACAGGATGTTATGTAGACTTAAATATTCCTTTTATTGTCTGCCTTATTTATGGCAATCAACTGAAGCATAAAAATCTGAATGTTTGTAGCTTTTACAGTGTTTATTCTGTATTGCTGATTCATTCTCCACTGTTGCTCAGTAAATGGCTGCAAAGAAGCCCCAGCAATTGCTATATCAATCTCTTTGTTATCTGAATTCTGCAACGGGAAGAAGGAATAGATCAAACTAAAGTTTGACCTTTTAGAATATTAGTATAATTTGTCATCAACCCTCTAATTCTTCTTTAATCCTCCACATGAAATAAGCCAATATTTGTTAACTGAATTTATTGGGACAATATGGTGAAAACAAATTTACCTGAAAGTATAGTAAGGATATCTTTGATGATGAAGCTAATACAAATCCACCCTTGAGGAATGACCAGCAACCGTGGCTGGCCAAAACCGTCCCAATACAGTTTTGTGTTGTATCCTCTGTCATCAGGCTTGCTCTTACAATAGATGAATCGGCACCATTTATCTTGACCCAACCTATTGAAGTCGAAACATGACACACACTGTAAATAAGTTATGCCTCCTGGAAGCTATTGGCTTAATCATGAGAATGCAGGTTCAAGTCTGTCCAAGATTTTAGAGTAGATGGTCGTATCAGTGCATAAGTTTAAATTGAAACACGTGACGGGCATGAGTAGATATGGTGGTTAACAAAGTCTACCCCTCCCGGCAGCCCACGTTGGATAATGACCTCTTTAAGTAGCAACTCAAGTCCAAAACAATTGGTTTGGCTATATGAACTTAGTCTACTCTTTAAGACATCCATTTATTGGAATATTGTCACAAACATTTCCAAGGTGCAAAGATTATGAAATCGATTGGATTGAAGAGGCATAAAATCATGCTGCCAAGCTGTTCAATTAAGTATCAAAGTAGGAAGGAAGAGGCACAGAAAGAGCTATCGGCTTAATCATGAGAATGCAGGTTCAAGTCTGTCAAAGATTTTAGAGTAGATGGGCATATCAGAGCATAAGTTGAAATTGAAGCATGTGTTGGACCAAAAAGAGGGTCACACGTGAGGGGGCGTGAGTAGATATGGTGGTTAACAAAGTCTAACCCTCCCGGCAGCCCACATTGGATAATGAACTCTTTAAGTAGTAAATCAAGTCCAAAACAGTTGGATTGAATGGATAAAATCATGCTGCCAAGCTGATCAATTAAGTATCAAAGTAGCATCTAATTAAGAAGGAAGAGGCATAGAAAGAGCAAGATTAAGTAGGCAAAAGCAGAGGCAGAGGATTTACATTGAATGAGAAATGTGCTAAAAGAAAATCAGTTCTGATATATCAAAGATGACCAATTTTCTACAAAGATTGATAGATTTAAACTGTGTATATATTGTGCAGGAAGAGCAATATTGGATCATATGACTACAATCAAACAAGTTTAGTCTAAGGGCACCTTAGTTGTTTTTGTAGGGTAACAAGTCAATGTCGTATCGCATTCAAATCCAGTGTTACATAAAATCCTAAAATTGATCATATATGTGTTATGAAAGGAAATTGGAAAAGATGGAACTCAACTGGAAAAGCAGTAAATAGTGCCTTGGGTGAGATGTTGCAATACGAAAGCCGGAACTCGTCCTGTTCCATTATCGTTTCCAATCATTGGTGTCATATCTGGAACCTGGTCTTTGAGGATCCCTCCGTCATAAAGCGCCTCTTCGGGTTGTGCTTTACACTGTTCACCAATTAAACCATTAAGTTTTGTTATCATGTATGTCAACACCAAAATCACATAATATAAAGTCATACAAGTTTTTTAATACTAAATCCTTATAGCACTCCAAATCCAATTAAGAAAGTTAGATACTCAGCACGCGTAGGCTGTGTAGCTTCATAAGTTAATTTCAAAATCAACTTTACTCGTAGTCCAACCATGATTAATTCTATGTGAAACAATAGAGAGAGGAAAATGGAAAATGGAGAAGAAGAAGAGAACAAGTTAAAAATGCAGCCTTCTTACCTTTGTGTAAGCAGTAGAATCGTACAGGGGCCCCTCTGCAGTTTCAGAACACAAAAATTGAAACCCATTAATAAAATCTCATAAGATTCACATTGTGTGTTGTGTGTGTGTGTGTGTGTGTGTGTGTGAGAGAGAGAGAGAGAGAGAGAACCATAAGGTGAAGCCAAGGAATGGCCAATGAGGAGGATAAGAACTAAGAGGCACAAAAATGGAGAGACCATTTCTGCTTAGACTATGGAGCTGCAAAAATAAGAAGAATAAAACATTGTGTTATGTGAATGAAATGAGTTAAATAAACATTGTGTTACCAATGAAAGTCTATTATTCAAAGAACTCCCAAGACGTACGCTGAGACGGAGAGAGGAAGTATCACAAGGGAAACAGTGCAGCAGGTCTGGGTAGCTCCGTGACTGCTCACATGCTATGCCAAGAGCTGCTTCACATATATATGTGTGTGTGTGTGTGTGTGTGTGTGTGTTTTTATTTGGGTTTAATTAATGAAAACATCAACCTTTTCCTCTTCAATTTTTTCTTTATGTTGTCTTCCTACTTTTTCTGGTTAATCACTTGTGCGTGCATGTATGGGCTTCAGCATGTTTGGTTTCCTTTGTTTGTGTGTGTGTGTGTGTGTGTGTGTGTGTGTGTGTGTGTTCATATATGTGTGGGGGTAATAGTTATGAGTAAAACCAACCACATTAAGAAGAAATTTATTCCTTCATTTGACTACACTGATCACCATAACCAACGCAATGTGAAAAGTTGCTGACTTAAGCAGTCTAATTAGATTCCAAGATTTGGGGTCCACCAATGATGTTTTGACACATCAGACAATATAGTACGATTCATTTACACTGGCTTTAAGCGATATGTGCAGAGTTGCTTTTTCCATATGAATAATACAATTGTTTTGTGACAAGTGATTGAGGACCTAAAACTGTTCAAATGAGACCCGTGTTGTTTGCTGCGATTTAGTATTCTCATAAATGATGTAACAGTGTCCTGGCCCATACTATCTTGTCTATTTGGAGTGTCCATTTGCAGTAGCATTTTTTATTTTTATGATAATTTAGGTTAGTTAATAGTTGCGATCAGACCTTGAACTCTCATATTTCTATTTTGAAAATCATTCAGGCATGGCATGTTGGGTATTGGTTTTGTTTTTAGTGTTTTTATTTTTGTCGCAGTGAATTGTGAAAAAAATGCCTTTAAGTAAAAATTATTTTATTTTATATAGTCCCAAAACGTTTTGTTAATAATGGCCAAAAACTTAAACAACAATTTAGTGTTTTTGTTACTGTAGCGATGGATTGTAATTTTTAAAAAAAAAAACAAAACTATTTAAATGACATTTTAAAACTAACCATTAGAGCATCTTCAGCCGTTGTATATATTTTTTTGTATAAATCTGATGTGTCACAATGAATTTATACAAAAATTTTGAATTATTTAATTTGAACTTCAACGGTTGTTTTATATCTTGTGTAAAAATATATCTCTTAATAATAACTAGCCATGTGTCATGCCAAGACTCCACATTATTTTTACAAACTTACTTAATATATAGTTGATTATTTAATGGAATGAGAAAAAGGGATGAGAGAGGAAATATGTTGATCTGACAATGTAAAAAGGTTGTGTAAAATACACAACATTTTACACAACCCTTTTACACATTGGTGATATGACAATGTATCATAAAAGACTGTTGGAGATGGAAAAAATTTACACATCATAGGTGGCCGTTTATATTTTACACAAAAGGACATTATAACAGACAGCTGGAGATGCTGTTATATTTTTCAAACTTACAACATTTTGTTACCAAATATGTGTTCATGTTTTTACTTCAAAAAATCTCTTAACAAATAAATGTTACCAAATATGCTTTCAATTACTATTCAAAACACTCTATCCTCTAAAAAAATAAATATTGTAACATTTTGTTACCAAATATATGTTTATGTTTTTACTTCAAAAAATCTCTTAACAAATAAATGTTACCAAATATGTTTTCAATTACTATTCAAAACACTTTATCCTCTAAAAAAATAAATATTGAATGAATTGATCGTAAATTTTGGGATTTTACGATCTCTTTCCCTTCAAGGGAAGATATTAATTGTAGAGAAAATGGAATTTCCACAATGACTGCAAATCCTTCCGATATCATTTAAAGATACAAATTTTTGTTGTGCCCCCAAAATTTATTTTGGTTCGAATCATTAGCGGAAATAAGCAAATGATATACCAAAATACTGTTGGAAAATATATGTTTCATATGACACTTAAGATATAACAAATCTAATACTAATATGCCATGAGATAATTAATAATACGCTAAAAAATAATTAATTAAATATGTAACTCAATATTTAATTAAACATGCAACTAATGCAATAAAATAATAATAATAAATAAATAAACCTGGACCGAGAATAGTATTGGATACTATGTCCTTAAGACAATGTACGCCCCGCATGGTGCTGACGGATTCTGTGGTGTTTGTCTCTCATGATACAACGGTTTGCATCCATCAATAGGCAGTAGCAGCACTACAAACTCGTGGATACGCAAACATTATCTGTGTAATACTCTCTCTGACTCAAAAATGCATCTATACTATATAAATACTGAATCGGTGTAATTCAAACCAAATGGCTCGGACCAATTTTGATATGACGATGAAATTAGATTAGGGTCTAAGTGACTCAAACCACTTGACCTATGACTTGAACCCACTCAGTTAGATTTAAGTCTAAAGAAGTGAAAAAATCAAAGAAATGAACGATTGAATTATGGCAGCCTAATGGGGTATTTATAGAAATAGAAGTGTTTTTTCGAATTAGATGTGTGTTTTTATCACTTGATACAACCATTTATATGTGTCAGTTCATCATCAGACACACTTACTCTAATAAGTTGTAATGACTTAATAAGTTATATCCGTTGGTTTTGAGGTACATCTCTTCATCACATAATTAACCAATGATCATACATGTTCAGTCCAACACATTTGGTTTTGAGTTATATCTCTTCATCACACAATCAATCAATGATCATACATACATGTTCAGTCCAACACATTTATTGATAACCGATCAAACAATATTCATTTACAAATTTTAACAAATATTTGTTTTGTTTCGAATTAAAACAAAACGCAAATAAAACGTTGTTCTAAATGTTGGATGACACAATCAACCACGCACAACAATCAACTGTGTGGTGTGGACCCGCCACAACTGTGAGTAATCCCCTGTGTCGGGTCGGATGCAAACATTAGTTGTGAATGGTTACTTTCAACACTGACTTACCGAATAGAATAGAAAAATAACTTTAGGACAGTGACTTCCACTTAGGAAAATTGTCATCTAAGTTTCCATAGATTCACATATAATGAATTGAAGTGTGCCTTCACACCTCTAAGTTTTGGCAGTCTGTGGTTGATGTGTTTTTGGGCGTGGATGGTGAATACTGCATAGCATTCATGACTCCAATTGGCACGCCTAGCGTATGATAGAGGGGACCATGTATCAATATGCTAGAATTTTTTTATTTGATAAATAAAGGTATGAATACCTGTACACTTATTCAAAAAGTCGGACGTTGTATCAATTAGGTCACTAAATAACGTTATTAACATACTAAAATATAATGAATAATAATTAGACATGTTTAAAATCTGCATACATATACACATGTTGTGATTAATTATTAATCTTGTTACAAGAACGTTGCGAATCAAGAATACAAAGTAAACACACACGACACAGACACAGAGAATATACAAATTTATGTGGTTCAGCGTTGAGCCATACACAATAGAAAACTACACTCCAAATCCTATATACTAGATTACAAAAGAGTTCTAAACAAGATGAAGATTAAAAAAATATATCAAAACAAAATTTCACAGGAAAAAAAAAAAAAAAAAAAAAAACCTCCAACATCTTCAAATTGAGCAAATAAAAACATTTAGTCAATTTAAACACTAAAGTACCTAAAATTCCTATAAGACAAAATAAAAATTAAAAAATACTAATTCAATTTTTAACGGTATTTTTGGTTTTTGTAAAAAAATATTGGTGAAAATTGAAGTCAACATATATTAGGGGCAATTTGCACATATTTTCAATTGTTATAAATTTGTATGTAATATACTAACTAGAAGAGGGTGTTTTTTTTCCAATTTTTTTTATATAACAAAGGCTATTTTGCACTTTATCATTAAGAAAATAACAGTTTATGATACATTGTAAATAGAGATTGGAGTAGGCTTGCCTTGCTCTATTAGTAAGATTTAAGTACAAAAGTGAACTCGGATTGACAAGTCCATGAGAGTTGGGATACTTACCCTCACTTAGGGGTGGTAAAATGGGTCATGATCCACCAATCTATTTATATCCGTTCACTTTAAAATAGATATGGGTGAACCATTTTAAAATATGAGCCAAAACGGGTGATCCATATTCAACCCATTTTTATAGAGGGTTAAATGGATTGAATATGGGTCACCCATTTTGACTCATATTTTACCCATTATATAAGAGAATCAATTTCACAACCTCTATTTGACTCAAATTCACCTCTTCCTTTCTAAAATTCTCTCCCACGATTCCAAATTCTCTCTCTCTCCCACTATCTCTCTCTAAAATTCTCTCTCTGAGATTCTCTCTCTCTCCCACTATCTCTCTCTAAAATTCTCTCTCTGAGATTCTCTCTACATCATGGACTATTTGTGTATGTAATCCTACGGTTCGAAAGAAACCTATGTTTACATCTATATTTCAACATAGGACAATCTGATTTATTCATTTAATTATTTATTCTATAAAAAGTTTAACAGATGATTTCATATAATATATATATATATATTATCTTACCTTCATGCATGTATAAATATATATAATATCTTTTATAACATAGAAGATATTAAGGGCAAAAATATAATATATACAACATCCAGATTCAACGTATTTAACAAATAATTTTATGCTGTGTTTGGTGTGCATGAATCAAATGAAATGCAAGTGGGAATGGAATGATTTGGTTGTAAATATGAAGTGTGTATGAATGGAATGATAATAACCATTTTAATGTTTGGTTGGACCAATTTAAAATTTAGAATGGAATAAATTTCAAATTGAGTTCTCTTAAATATCCCTCTTAGTAACAAATAAATTAAATTAACAAAATGACATTCTTATATAATTTTTTAAAAATAAATGGTGGTAGTAGCAGTGGTGGATGGTGGTGACAATGGTGGTAGAGGTGGAAAGTGGCAGTGGTGTTGGAAGGCGGCGGTGGTGGCAATGGTGGAAGGTAGCAGCAGCGGTGATGTTGGAAGGTTATAGTGGTGCTGGTGGAACGTGGTGGCACTAGTGTGGTGGTGGTGGAAGGCAGTAGAGTTGGCGGTGGTGGAAGGTGGAAGTGGAAGGCGATGGTGGTGATGAAAGACGATGGCGGCGGTGGTGGTGATGAAAGGCTATGGTGGTGGCGGTGGTGAAAGGCGACGGCGGCGGTGGTGGTGAAAGGCGGTGGCGGTGGAAGGCAGTAGCGGTAGCGGCGGTGGACAAAAGCAATCGTGGCGATGGAAGGTAACGGTGATAAAAGGCGATGG